ATTTCTCCACACACTCATTGCAGACAAAGGTATGTATGATCACCTACTGCTCCATTCACTATCACATCATTATCTTGACAGCCTTTTAGGCTTCTTTCCATTTTGTCTGCAATTTATCCCTGGGGAATCCTCTCTTCCATGTGGCCATTGTGATGATACTAATCTTGACAATTTTAGTGCCACTCAACCACTTGTGGGTCTTGAATGGAGTTAATGTCATGCAGTAATGGAACTGTTCCTAACCTCTGGCTCGGGCTAATTAAACTTGTATCGAACCTTCATTACACAATAACTGAAGCACTGTGCATAATCCGGTTTCCATGTTGTAAGACGGATATGGGGCACTGGAAAGATGGGAAAAACAATTCATCTAAGTTTCTGAGGGATCTTGACAGGGTAGATGTGGAGACGATGTCTCCTCTTGTAGGAGAATTTAAGACGAGTGGTTAGGAGCAAGTTACTGCAGGTGCTGGAATCTGTACTGAAAACAACAAATGCTGGAGATCACAGCGGGTCAGGCAGCATTCATGGAGAGAGAGCAAGCTAATGTTTCAAGAGTAGCGTTTGTTATTTTCAGTAAGACTAGGGGTTGTTGTTTAAAAATCAAGAGTTGTCCATTTAAAACTGAGATGAGATGATTTTATTCCCCTCAGAAGGAAAATGAAGTATATTTACAGTGTATCAGTTAAGCACAGAAATCACATCAATACTCAACAATATTTTGCAAACTGCAGTCTAATAATGACTGGCTAAATCAGTGTTAGTTATGTTGTTTGAGGGGTATATATAGACCAGGACACCAGATAGAACTCCCATTCTCTTCATAAAAATAGTAACATGGAATCCACTGCATCCAGTGTACAGACCAAAGGGGCTTCAGTTCACAGTTTCACCCCACAGACAGCACCTCTTAACAGGACAGTTCCCCTCTAAATACAGCTCACTGAATTACAAAGCCACCCTTTAAAGGTCAGCTCAGGTTAACGTTTCTACCGTCCAGCAATAGATTGTCACGGATAAATTACAGGCTGGGATCAAATTTTTTAATGGATTTGGGAGAGCAGGGAGATTATTTCTCATGACTAAAATAAACCAAAGACATTAACCATTGCAAGTGATTTGATTAGATTTAATGCGACCTCTCAGAATAAATCCTGAAAGCGTCAGAGAATCTTTCACTACAGAATTGGGCCATCAGTCTATGCTGCTGTTTCTCAGCGCATATTTCTAATCCTACACTTTCATTCAATCCCCATGCTTTTTTAACATTCCTCTCTAATTCCCTCAGGTGATTATCCAATTCCCTTTGTACCCCCCTCCCCGCCAATATCCTTTCCATTTTTTTTTCATGAACTATCTAAAAGTACATTCTAAAACTTTGCAATTTGGACTTTACAGAAAAAGGCAATAAAATTCAGCCTTTCTCTGTGGAGTTTGTTACACTTTTACAGGCCTCAATCCAATTGCAATGCGTGTGATATTTCCGATATGCATTCAGTGAGAAGTTTACAATTCAATGCTCCCTATAATTTACCAATCCCTCGGTACCCTCTGACTGAAAGGCCTTAGGCAGTGGTCTTGCCCCAGTGCCCTCCTGTGGCAATAGCCCCAAGCTTTAGTAAGTCCCTTAGCTTGTCGTCCTGCATATTAATGCAGAGGAAGGAATCCTTCCCACTTCTAGTTAAGGGACAAACAGTTGAGTTTCTCATAGCAGCAATCCCACCTCCTCTCTGAGCAAGACCAGAAAATAGTTCAAAGTTAACCGGAGGCAGATAAGACAGGGTAGGGCTTGGACAGAAAGCTGGAGATGATGGTGATCCAATGATATTGCGGCTCTTGCCGATCACCAGGCCCATGGCTGTTTATTTTGTTGCCTCACTGTTTCCTACCTGCTGTCGACTCATGGCATTGTTGGTGGACTGGGTGGATTTCAAATGCTGTGGTAGAGCTGCCAAACAAGTGGATTGGCATTGAACTCCTCAATGTTGCTGTACCTGTAATAATCCATGTGGGTGGGACCACGTGATACTGAAATTCCTTGGTGAGGGGGAAATCTTAAAGATTCCCATCAGAACCTTGGTGGTAAGCTGAACGAATCTCCAGCAAAAACAGTGTAGAAAGCTGAAAATAATCCTTGACACTGTTTGTCAGCAAATTCTGACTGTCTATGGGGAGATAAAGAGAACTCCTACAAACTCCTGAAGCCAAATATCACTCCTGTCCTTCCCACATTACCATAACCCTTTTATCCACATTAATACTTCTTCTAGGTCAACACAGTTTTTGTGAAGAAAATCCCAACCTCTCAAGACTCTCTTCCTCACTTTACAAGCCTTTGTGAAATCAAACAAAACCACACTGTAACTTTCCAATTGCTGTTAACTTCTTGGTAACTCTTTCTAGTGGTTGATGATTGGAAACTGCACATTGTACTCAGGGCACAGCCTAGAACATCAGCACCACAGTATCACAGCAAAGTACTACACTGAAAGACGCCATTCTACTCAGGCTCCCTGTGCTAGCTCATTGGCAGAAGGATCCAATTAGTACCAAAATCCACTGTTCTTTCCCCAGAGCGCTATTTTTCATTTTGTTTCACATAAGTATCCAATTCCCTTTTGGAAGTCATACCCGAATCTGCCCCCGCCACACTGTCAAGCAGTGCATTCTGGATCCTAACCACTCAAGATACATCTACAGGTTGTATTGCAGTAATTCACTGAAGGTCTTTCAAAAGCACCTTTCAAACCCACAGCCACTACCACCTGGAAGGACAAGAGCAGTAGATACATGGGAACACCAACTGCTATAAGTTCCCCTCCAAACCGCTCACCATCCTTACTTGGAAGTATATCGCTGGAATTCCCTCCCTAACGGATTTGTGAGTGTTCCTACACACCAAGAATAGCAAGAAGGCAGCTCAGAACCACCTTCTCAAGGGCAAATAGGAATGGGCATCAAATACTGGCCCAGCCAGCAATTCCATACCCAAAGATAGATTTTAAAAAAGGTCTATGCGATCAATGCTTTGTATCACCCAGGTGGGCGCTGGGTCACAAAGCTCAACATTGGCCAAGACTAAGGATTTTGTTTTAATCGTGACCCTGCCACTAGACTCAATGTCCAGCCAAAGTCTCACCACCTCATGGTGTTCATAGTGTTAGATTAGATCATTGCTGCTGGGGTCTAGGAGACCATCCCTCAGGCAGGCTCCCTATATCGCATAACATCAGAGGTTAGACAAGTATCACTTAAAACCACCATAACCAGAATTCATCTTTCTTTGGCTGAAGGATGGCCAAGCAATTCCACACATCACCCACGTTCACTCAACTTTATGTTGCTAGGAGAGGATGGAACCATCCAGTGTCAGTATTGAAGGCCATGAAGAGAAGTGAGCTGCAGCAGACAGGTGAGTGCTAGCTATGGATTGTACAAGACACTGTTAGACCTCAGATAGAGTACTGTGTACAGTCGTGGATGCCACATTACAGGAAAGATGTGAATTTGTTGCAGAGAGTTCAGAAATGATTTTTCAGGAATGAGAAGCTTCAGTTATGAGGATGGAATGGAGAGTTTGGGACTGTTTGCCTTGGAGAGAAGAAGGCAGAGAGGAGATTATGACAGAGATTTCCAAAATCATGAGCGAGCTGGATGGAGTAGTTCAGGAAAAGCTTGTAAAAGGAACAAGAACAGAAGGGCATAGACAGAAAGTGATTTGCAAAAGCAGTGAGGTGAAAAAGAAAATTTCACCCAGCAAGTAGTTGGGGTCTGGAATGCACTGCCTGGAAATGTAGTGGAGGCAGGTTCAATTCAGGTATTTAGAGGGCTCTGGGTGATTATGTGTACTGAAATAATATTTCAGAGTATGGGGGAAAAGGCTGGAGATTGACTCTAGGGAATATTTAATGAGCCAGTGCAGACACGATGGGCCAAATGGCCTCCTTCATCACTGTAACAATTGTGTGATACTCAGATTTTTTTTTCGTGGTTCAGTGAGTAGCACTTTTGTCTCCTCTTTTGGAAGTTGTGTACTGCAAACCACAAACCAGAGAAGTTGAGCATCCAATCATGGTTGACATTTCAGTACGCCGCTGACCTGAGTAACTGAGTCCTAGCTGATACCACTTAACTAGCAAGTAGCAGCAGAACAGACTGGCATAGAGCTGGTTTCTGCTAACTAACCTTTGCCAGCAACTGCCTGACAGTGCACAAAGTGGGGGATGTTTTCAGAGGAGGGGGGGCAGCACTGGCAAAGCTGCCCTTCCCTAATTGCCCTTGAACTCAACTTAGACCATTTCAGAGGGCAATTAATAGTTAACCACACTGTTGTGAGACTAGAGTCACATGTGTTTGCCAGTGTGGGTAAGGATGGCAGATTTCCCTCCCGAAAAGGACATCAGTGAACCTGATATGTTTTTACTACAAAAACTTAGTTTCATGATCAGCATTACTGAGACTTATTTTCCATTCCAGAATAATTAATTAACAGTAGGATTTGACACAGAATTCAGGGATATTGTTTGGATCTACAAGTCCAGTGACATTATCACTACATGTGCCATTTATAATTGTTCAAAGTGGAAAGTTTTATTTAATTCAGTCATAGGATGAGGGCATCGCTGGCTAGGCAGCATTTATTGTCCGTTCCTAATTGCCCACAGGGCAGTTAACAGTCAACCACAATGCTGTAAATCAGGAGTCACATTTTAGGCCAGACCAGGTTAGGATGGCAATTTTCTTCCCTGAGGGACATTACAGAACCAGATGGGTTTTTCCAAAAATCAACAATGGATTCACTATCATTGTTAAATTCTTAATTCATGCTCATCATTAGACTATTAATTTCAGATCTTTTAAAATTGAATTCAAATTTCACCATTTGCCATGGCAGGATTCAAACCTGGGTATCCAGAACATTACCTGGGTCTCTGGAGTAACAGTCCAGTGATAATACCATTAAGCCAACACCTCCCAAGTATTGGACATCACACACTTACCATTGACAAGCAAGAGTTGAGAACACGTCTGGTGGTTCAGGCTCCTGGAAAAGTTTGAGGAGTTCTGGATCTGAGGTGAAGTGTGCGAGGATCCGCAGCTCAACATGAGAGAAATCTGAAATGGAAGATAGAAATGGCACATTATCTGGGCACAGAGTGCAGAGGGGAATAGATTGATTTTCCTTCCTGTGCACAACTGAGAATTTTGCTAACCAGCCTTTACTGCTGGTAACCAGCAACCAGGTCAACGTGAGGCCATCTGAAAAGCAGAAATCCTGAAATTTCAACATGGAGTGTTGGACATACTCAGCAGGTAAGGAGGCAGAAATTGAGTTAGCCTTTCAAGTTGCGACTTTACCTCAGAACTTTTAACCAGATCTACAGAATCTTGCATAATTAAAACCAAAGCACCCACTATCCCATGAGCCAGTTCTTTCCTGACCCCAGGATGAAGACTTGGGGACCTGCCTGTTTGCAGCTCCAGCAATTTACTCACTAACACTTCTCTGGTAATTGCAATTTCCTGGAGTTCCCCTCTGCCTCCCATTTCCTAATTTACAGATATTTCTGATATGTTACTTCAACCTTCTATAGTGAAGACGAATGGGAAATACCTGTTCAATTCATCTGCTATCTCATGTTTTATTTTCTGTCATTAATTCTCCAAACTCACCTTCTGTAGGACCAATGCTCACTTTGTTAACTTTATTTTTGAATATCTATTGAACCTGTTTTTAATAGTTTTTAGCTTGTTTTCTCTCTTCCTCTAATTTTTGCCTCCTTATTAAATTTCTAGTTATTTCTTTACTGTTATGTTTCCATTATGTCCACTCCTGCCCTGCCACCTGTCTTTGCACAATTATATGCTTTTTGTTTAAGTTCGATGCTATCTTTAATGTTTTTAATTAACTATGAGTGGGGATCCTCCCCTTGAAATTTTTATTTCTTTTGGAATGTATCTATTCTGTGTGTTCTGAACAAATGCTGGCTTTGCCAATGATCCTGAACATCCCACGATAAAACAAAATGAAGCTTAGTAATTGTACTTGTGAATAAATGTAAGCTGTTGTTGTAAAGATGCCTGAGATTAGTGCACTGGAAAGCTCCCCTATATTCAACAGCTGCCTGCAATGGGCAAACCCATGTCAGCAGAGGCCAGGTTGGTTGCAAGGCCAGCTCCAATTGGACTCAGTGCCAGGGGAGGGCAAATTGGTTGAGAACAATCAGGTCAAGCCAGGATGGGGCTCAGTTGTGACTCCATCCGCTGGTGTGATTTTGCCTCAAACATAGTGTTTTACCCAATGTAGTATCCCTTATAACAAGAAACTGGGAATGGACATCGTGGCATTGAAGAATCCAACAGACATGAGTTACAGCTGTTTATTATACGCAAATATTAGATTGATAGGTGCATTAGTGTCAGGGCTAGCATTATGGTATGAGCTTACAACAAAGGAGCATTGAGCAGTGTGTCCTTCCAATAGTGTATCATGCTTCAAGTGATCCCCACTAAGATGGCTGTGGTAGCTATTCAATTAATACAACTTACCCTATAGTCTTTCAAATTTCTCCTTTTCAAACATATTCAATTTCCTTTGGACAGTTATCACCATATCTGTTTCCACCATGGTTTCAGGCAGTGCATTCCAGACCACAACTCACTGCATTAAAATCATGCCCATTTAAGATGGAGATGAGAGGGATATTTTTCTCTCAGAAGGTCGTGGGTCTTTGGAAATCACTTCATCAGAAAGCAGAGAAGATGGGATGGTTGATTACTTTTCAGGCAGATGTAGACAGGTTGTTGACTAACAATGAAATCAATGATGATCAGGGGTAGGCAGGAATGTGGAGTTGAGATCATAATCAAATTATTGAAAGGTAGAGCAGGCTTGAGGGGCCGTATGGCCTATTCTTGCTCCTAAATTGGATGCTGATATGTTTGTAATTCCCCCGTCACACCTCTGGTTTCTTTCTCTCAACTTCTGTCCTCTGGCTGCCCCACCCACTAGTCGAAACCTTTTCTCATCAGTTACTCTATCTGAAATCTTTGCTGGTTTACATGATGCTGGAATGCAGAGCAGAATAAGAACAAAAACTAAAATAAAATGAAGCAATATTAGCACAGGAAACTATCTACAGCCAAGTTACTGATGCCAAAAGTTTAAAAACATTTCCACTCAAATCATGTGCTGTACTGCTGCCACCTACTGCCCAGTGATCATCTTTGCCACTAGTTGGAGGGGCAAAAATCTACTTAAATTTAACAAGGGAAAGGCACAATTTACAGACTCACATAAACAGGAATAAGGACAGTGACAAACTGTCCGTCCCCAACCTATGACTGCTCTGCAGGTCAGTATCAAACATAGTGAATTCAATCTTCTGGCACATGCTGCACTCAACTTTATTTTGAGATGATGACCATGAAATAAAGACAACATTCAGGCTTCCATGATTGTCAATGGTTCAATCAGATATAGGAAAGGAAATAGACCATTCAGCCCATCAAGTCTGCTGTGCAATTCAATAAGGCCATGGTTGATCTGATAATTTTTTAAAAACTCATTCATGGGATGTGGGCATCACTGGCCACAGTGATACCTTAATTCCAGACATTTAGTAGATTCAGCCTCCACCATCTGCCATGGTGACATTCAAACCTATGTTCCCAGGACGTTACCTGGGTCTCTGGACTAATAACACAGTGATAATACCACTGGGCCATCACCTTCCCTAAATTCTCAAATCCACTTTTCTGCCTTTTTAACAAACCCTTGATTCCCTTCCTGATTAAAAATCTGTCTATTTCAGCCTTGAATACACTTACTAGCCCGACCTCAACAGACCTCTGCGTAAAGAATTCCACAGATTCACTGAGAGAAGAAATTCCTCCTGAGCTCTGTCCAATAGGCAGCTATGTCTACATATGATAAGGAAAGAGTCCTGAAGCATTCTTCCATAACCATTACATTATTTGAAGAACAAAACAAATGAAATAATGAAGAAAAGCCATGCATTTATTGACCCCTTTTGATATCCTAAAGTGCTTTAGAGTAATTTTAAAATGTGAAGATTAGCAGAAAGAACATGAAAATTAGAAGCAGGAATCTGTCTTCTGGTCCTTAGGGCCTTCTTCAGCATTCAATATTATTAATATGAAAGATGTTCCATGGCGAAAAGCAATAAAAATCTCTGATACTTAGCAATGAATGTACTGCTACATGTACACGCAACAGAGTATTGCATTCAATTTTGGTCGCCACTTTACAGGAAGGATGTGGAGGCTTTGGAGAGAGTGCAGAAGAGGTTTACCAGGATGTTGCCTGGATTACAGGGTGTGAGCTGTAAGGAGAAGCTAGAAAAACTCGGGTTGTTTTCTCTGGAGCAGAAGAGGCTGAGGGGAGACGTGATAGAAGTTTATAAAATTATGAGATGCATGGATGGGGTTGACAGTCAGAACCTTTTTCCCAGAGTTGAAATGTCTAATACTAGGGGGCATGCATTTAAGGTGAGAGGGGAAAGCTCAAAGGAGATGTTTTTTACACAGAGTGGTAGGAGTCTGTCAGGGTGGTGGTGAGGGCAGATAAGTTAGGGGTATTTAAGGGACTTTTAGATAAGTACATGAATAAGCAAAGAATGAAGGGATCTGGACCAAGGGCAGGCAGAAGGGATTAGTTTCGTTTGGCATCATATTCGGCACAACATCATGGGCCAGAGGGCCTGTTCCTGTGCTGTACAGTTCTATGTTTCATATGTTCAAACTGGAGCTCTATTTTGAAATACACAAGTTTGAGTCAGACATTCATGCAACTCCACTTTTGGATCACTAACTGAGATCCGCAGCCCTCTAGGGTAGATAATCTCAAAGATTCATCAATCTCGGAGGGACAAAATTCCTCCTCACCTCGGACTTTAATAATCGACCCTTTACTTGAGATTATGCTCCATAGTTATAAACTCTCCATCCAGGGAGCGAGTACCCATTATTGATCATAGGAACAAAAAAACTTCAATTCATTCACAGGATGTGGGCATCAGTGGCTAGGCCAGCATTTAGTGAGTTGGCCAGAGGGCAGTTAACCACACTGCTGTGGGTCTGGAGTCATATGTAGGCCAGATCAGGTAAGGACGTTAGCTTTCCTTCCCTAAAGGAAATCAGTGAACCAAATGGGTTTTTGTCACAATCGGCAATGCTCAATCGTGCAATGGTCCCCATTATTCCAGATTTTATTGAGTTCAAATTCTATCAACTGCCATGTTGGGATTCGAACAGTGACATTACCACCCATTCCACCGCCTCCCCAACACAGGAACAGGAGGAGGCCATTCAGCCCATCAAGTCTTCCCTGCCACTCGATATGATCACAGCTGATCAAATAAGACCCATAACACACAGAGGAGTAGAAATTAGGTATTCGACCCATCAAGTCTACTCCACCATTCAATCATGGCTGATAAGTTTCTCAACTCCATTCTCCTGCTTTCTCCCCATAACCCCTTTTGATCCCCTTAACAATCAAGAATGTATTTATCTCTGTCTTAAATACACTCAATGATGTGGCTTCCACAGCCTTCTGTAGCAATGAATTCCACAGATGCACCACCCTCTGGCTGAAGAAGTTTCTCCTTATCTCCGTTCTAAACGGTCTTCCCTTCATTCCAAAGCTGTCCCTTTGGGTCCTAGTCTCTGCTGTTAATGGAAACATCTTCCCGACGTCCACTCTATCCAGGCCACTCAGTATTCTGTACGTTTCAATTAATTCGTCCCTCGTCCTTCTAAACTCCATCACGTATAGACCCAGAGTCCTCAAATATTCCTCAAATGTTAAGCCTTTCATTCCTGGGATCATTCTCGTGAACCTCTTCTGGACCCACTCCAGGGGCAGTACATCCTTCCTGAGCTACGGGTCCTAAAATTGCTCTCAATATTCTACATGTAGTCTGACCAGAGCTTTATGAAGCCTCAGTAGTACATTCCTGCTTTTATATTCTAGTCCTCTCAAAATAAATGCCAACATTGTATTTGCCTTCCCAACTACCAACTCAACCTGCAAGTTTACCTTAAGAGAATCCTGGACTAGGACTCTCAAGTCCTTTAATACTTCAGATTTC